TGGCATGGGTCAAAGCCCCAGATTTCGTCAGGATTTAGAACTCGCGTGCCCGAGCGCATATATAAACACATTGGTCTTGCAAGTTGGGGTTTTCAAAAAAGCCTGCGCCCTTGCCCTTGCGAGTTCTGAAGAAAAACATGTTCCCCGACATCTTTATCGCATGTGACCAAATGTACCCCTCGCGCGTGCATGTCGAAAATCGTTCAGACGCCCTTGCGCGCGTGTTGTCTCGATGACCCTTTATAAACAATTCGGCGAAGTGTGCGCTCGCTCGACGTCGCTCGCGCACGCCGAAGAAAGTTCAAAGCCCCAGGTGTCATTTGGGATCCGAAGTTGAGTATCTCAAACTGTTTCTTTTATAACAAGCTAATGGTTTCGAAGCAGGACGTTTCACAACAGCCTGCGCTCGCGCTCTTGCGAATTCTTCGGGGAGGGGCATGGTTTGTGCTCAACTGTTTTTCACATTCTACCAAACGTGCCTCTCGCGCGCACATGTTTACATCATCCGAACACTCTTGCGCGCGTGTTGGGAGGCACGATCCTTGTCCAATGATCTCGCGCGGGCCACTCGCGCGCGTCGACCGCGCGCGCATGTCGAAATCTTTTGACAGCCTTCATTAGCGACGCGAGGACACCATCATGGCGTGATCAGCATCGGTGCCGCCATTACCCTTGCCGTGGTCCGTGGCATCATCACGCCAGCGCCGCTACTGACACTATCGTGTCTGACGGCGCCGGCGTCTCCATGACACCGCTCCCGCCCGGATCACCGACTCGCGCTGATGTGCCCGCGCGTCAGCGCGGCTTGCGAGACGCGCTGGGAAGTTCCCAGCGGTCGGCGCCACCGCGGCCGCGTCGGTCGCGCCAGACTAATTGGTCGCTTTGTGCGCGAGCCTGCGCGTGCTAGCGCGGCCGCAGCGATGCACCAGCCAGCGCCAAGCAGCCATCGCAGTCGCTGCCGCATGGGTTTTGCAAACCTGTTTGCGGGTGGGTGGGTGGGATATTTGCGCGAGCATGGGAGGTGGTAGCGCGCGAGGGAGCCAAGGTCAATGTTCATTTCCCGAAATGCATTGCGGCGCACCCCCCTTCAGAATTCACGGGTCCCTTTTTTTTGTATTGCAATTTGTATATAATTTCCCCCACCGCCCATGTTAAGTATAGGTTCGTACTATCCCAGGCAGGTTGGTATGGGTACCCGCTGCATCCTTTCCTCGGCAAAACACCGTATGCGAACACACGTGGGTCACACATCGTACATGTTCATGAAACCGTTACAAACCACGGGACGAAGTGCACGCGCGCGCGTCGCCGCGCGCGCATGCCAAATTCCGTCGAACATTTTTGGTTTCGTAAGCAAATTACAAAATCGAGTGTCCTGAAACAGGTTAGAACATGGTTTCGCAATTAGAGTGTTCCAAAGTTGCTTGCGGTCGAGTTCGTGCGAATTCACCAGAAAACCGCATCGTTTTTTCTTCAATGTTCCAGCGACTTGCTGCCCAGCGTGTTTCTCGCGCGCGTATGTGAGACTCGCTCGGGCGCCCTTGCTCGCGTGCTGTCGCGAAAACCCATTTGCAAAATATGGGACGACGTGCGCACGCGCGCGTCGTCGCGCGCGCATGCGAGCATATTTCAAACAAAAACACTCTGGTGTCGTCAACAATTCAAAATCGACTGTCCAGATATATGGTTAAAGCCACATGGTTTTGCAGCAACATGTTTCAGATATGCCTGCGCTCGCGCTCCTTCGATTTTGTACCAGTAAACCATCGGTGTTCAACATTGTCATGGACTTCGGCCAAGCGAGCCCCTAGCATTCAAACCCCTTTGCGTTCGTGCTGGGGGGGAGCGCAATATCCATGTCAAAAAGTACCATGCGGGCAATCTCGCGCGTCGGCCGCACGCGCATGTCGAACCCTTCTTTGTTTTTCCTTGAAACGTTCGTCACCGACGCGGGGGCGCCGTCATCGTCGTCGGCGTGATCAGCATCGGCGTCGTTTCTGACCTTACCGTCGTCGTTGTCATATCGTCACCATCATCAATGCCGTCAGTATCGTGTCTACGGGTGTCGGCGTTGCAATGGTACCGGTCCCGCCCAAGTTGCCCACTCGCACTGATGTGCCCGTTGGGAAGTGCCCAGCGAACAGCGCCATTACTACCACGTCGGTCACGCCAAACTATCTGGCCGCTGCGCGCGCGAGCATGCGCGCTAGCGCGGCCGCAGAGATGCACCAGCCAACTCGAAGTACTCATCGCACTCGCCGCCGCATGCTTTTTCAAACCAAGATGCAGGCGGGTGGGTGGGATGACGTGCGCGAGCAGTGGGGTGGACAATTCATTGCGAGCAGCAGTTCGTTACACTTGATAGAATTCTCCACGTCGGTTGCACAGCTTATATGGCTAGAGACACGTTTTGGGGGTCCACGCTGGCTAACATGTTATGAGATACGGTCGTGGGTCCGTGAATTTGTTTCGCAAATTTGGGCTCACGTGGCCCCGATCCGCTGCCACACTGGGCGCCGCCATCCCCTGCACGGAATCCGCGATCGGCCCCTGGGGCCCGCTATCGGGCGCCAGGACAAATAAACATCGACCTTGGACGCAACACGGTCCCCTTGGAAGTGGTCGGGGTCTCTGGGGCCGAAACACCACATCGGTGGATATCTGCCAGTGCGTCGTCCAGGGGCCTCTCCAGGTATCTCCTCCGGCCGACGACGGCGGGGGTTGCACGCTCCACAGCAGTAGCACGCTCAGGGGCCTCGCGCGCCTGCTTGTTGGAGCTGCGCTGCCGCAGTTTGAACCGATACGGTCAGAATGCTTGGCTCGGCGTGTCGTTCCGTCGGTCCTTGTCCACCACGCTTCGGCGCGACACGCTGTCCACGCCCCCATTTCAAACGTTAACGTCCCGAGCTGTTGTTCCCAGCCTCCCGCCTCGCTGAGAGACACGCAATCCGCTTGCGGGGCATAGCGTGTCGCCGGGGCCGCCGCCGCGACACGGTGAACAAACGCTCCCGAACGTAGCAAGCTCAGGGGCCTCACGCGCCCGCTTGTTTGAGCCGCGTTGTATCGGGCACGATGTCCCCTCCTCCTCCTCCTCCTCCTCCTCCTCGTCCTCCTCCTCCTCGTCCTCCTCCTCGTCCTCCCCCTTGTCTTCTTCCTCGTCTTCGTCCTTTTTGACGTTCGGCAAACATCAGCGGCGGGGCTGTTGTGTTCCCATCGTCGCCCTCCTCCTCCTGCTCCTCCTCCTCCTCGTCCTCTTCGTTCCCCTCCTCCTCCTCCTCCTCCTCCTCCTCCTCCTCCTCCTCCTCCTCCTCCTCCTCCTCCTCCTCCTCCTCCTCCTCCTCCTCGTCGGCGCAGCCTCCCCCCACCAGGTGAAGAGGCTTGGGTCCTCTTACGGCCATGAAGGGCCAGTCGCCGCGTTTGTTGGAGGCCCCCGTGCACAGCCCCGATGGGACCGCCCAGGGGCCCATCGTCTTCGCACGAGCTGCGGTTCGGTCGGCCGCCCGGGGGGCCTCTTGGAGTCGGAGTGCTCGTGCGTCGGGTTGTGTGGGGGCCCGCTCCGAGGGCCGCGAGCGGCAACTGGCTCGGACGTTGCAGGGACGTTGCAGGGTAAGCACCCGTCGAGCGGGTGGGGGTGGCGACCGCTCTTGCTGATGTGTCTTGGGGGCTCCTCGCGGCGAGGCTCGGCTTGGATGCCACCCCTCCCCTCCAGTCCCCTCCCAGCACCGTTCAGGGGTGCGGGGTCGACCTCGTCCGCGGGCTTGCTCTGTTTGGATCCTCTCCCGCGCTGAGGCGGAAAGCCTTGGGGCAGCTGGTCCTGGACAGGAGACGCAGGGAAGCCGCCGCGCCCGAACTCGGAGAGAGAGAGTTCGGCGAGGTTCCACTTGTATCGTCTCGATGCACGTGCGAACGCGATCGCTTCCCCAGCGGGCGTGGCACTCCTCCTCCTCGTGCTCCCGGCCCTCCTCCTCGTCGCCCTCCTCGGCCTCCGCCCGACGGCGGCGCGCTCCGCCCGCTCGCCTCGCCTCGCCGCCCCCGGCCTCGCGCGCGCCGTCGCGCCCCGTGCGGCGGCGCACTCCGAGCCCCGCTGGAGCCTCCGCGAGCGTGTCCGGAGGGGCGCCGCCTCCCCGCCCGGCGGCCCCGCGTCGGCCTCCGCCTGCGGACAGCCGCCGCGCACCCGCGCGTGCAGGGGCTCGCTGCCTCTCGGGTCCTGCGGCGTGCTGCTCTTCGGGGGAGGAAGAGGTACCTATAATTCTGCCCTCCCCTCGTGTTCTTCTCCTTGGGCCTCCCCGGGCCTCCGCCGTCGCCCCCGCCGGATTCGCCACGAGATCCTGGTCAGAGCGCACCCCGGGAGAGCTTCGGGGAGTCGCGGTATCGGTACCTCTTGGTCTCCCCAATTCCTTGGCGCTCTTCGTGCACGGAGGCAGGCGACGGCGCCGCGGTCTCCAGTGGCAGGCGTGGGCTGGCGGGTGTGGTGATTGGCTTTTGGCCGCTGCCGCCCGGCCTGCCCGACCTCCTTCTCCTCCTGACAGGAGGGCAGGCGGAGAGGGGGGGAACAGTGTTCCCCCCCTCTCCGCTTGCCCCTCTCTCGGGGCGGACGAGAGGGGGGAAGGGTAGGTGTTGGGAAAGGGGAGGGTGCACGACATCAGCTGCGTGCGGCTGGTTTCGCGCGAAGCCCCCGCCGCCTGGCGAGCGGCCCTCGATGCACGGGCACCGGGAGGCGTCGGGAGGGCGCCGCTACGGGAGCTGACTTGCTGACTCGCTATCCCCCCCCGCTTTCGTCCGGCCCCCTCCCCGCTCGCTCTCCTCCCACCCCGACAGCTGGAGGCCTCGACCCATTCCCCAGGACCGGCTTTTCATTCCGAGTCGTTTTCTGACGGCCCCGAGGGCCGGTGAGGGCCCCCAGAGGCAGAACATAACGAAACATCTCCCGCGGTAATTCTTCCATGGCTCGAGGGGGCCTGGCTGCCCCCCTCCTCGGATCGCCGCGGCCCCCCTGCGAGGTGAAGGTGGACATCATCGTCCACGAGAACAGCAGCTGGAAGCAGAAGACGGGCGAGCCCCCCGCGCCCGAGAACGCGCCCCCGCCGAGGATGGTGAACGACCGGTGGGACGAGCAGCAGCGGGCCAAGCAGGCGCCCCCCCCCCCCCTCCGAGGGCGGCAGCAGGAGTCTGGACGTCTCCGCCCGGCCCCGGCAGGCCCCTCCCGGGGGCCACCTCGAGCGGTGCAGGCGCTGCGCTCCCCGGGCCTGGCCGGGACTGGCCGCTGCAGGCTGGCCTCGGCTGCGCGCGCGCCGATCCAGGAATTCCGCGCGGAGCTCCAACAGTTTATGTATGTGCCGTGTTGTGTCCCTCTATCCTCCGCGCGCGGTGCAATTCCCCTCCGAGGCGATTGTCTAAGGCACAGTGTTGTGTTCCACACGCCTGGAGCTCTTCTTCTCCTCTTCCCCCTCCTTCCGCACCTTTCCCAGCGCGGTGGGTGGCACGATCACGTCTGCGTTTGGCGCTTCCTTCCCATGCCTCCTGAGGCCCTTGCCTCCGTTGTTCGAGCCCTTGACTTATATAGCAACCCATACCACGATTTAAGGCACATCTCTATCACCTGAGTCCAGCTGCGAAATCATGCCGAGGCTCGTCTGCTGCAGTTTGTGCGCAGAGATGATCGACTCCGCATCTACTGCGTAGAGGGTTGGTGCCTTGATGTCTGGCATTTCCGTGGCCCAGATCAGAGGGGACCACACACTGCACTTACGTCAAACAACATCGTTTACGTTTGCTGTCCGCTCGGTCGGACATGTGGGCGTGTGTTGTCAGTTCGCCTGGGTGGGTGGGCCTTGCTGTCCGATGTCAGGATCGTCCTCTTGAAGGTCAGCGGGCTTCATCTTTATAATTGTTTTTCTTACTCTAAGCCTTCTCTCTTCGGATCACCTTTCATTCCTTGTCCGCCCTAACCTTGCTGGCCTGTGTCAGTCCTCATCCCGTCAACCTCGTCTTCTCTTGTGTCTCCCATCCCGTCTTTCCCCGCCTTTGCTGCCGCCTCCCGCGAGGTCTCTCATACCACTCACGATTTACATGATGCTCGTTCGAAGTCCATGCCCAGCGCCGTGCTCACGGCTGCGCGCGCCATTATGCGGCAGTCCCGTCCCATCCAGTCGGAGATTGGCCCCCTCCAGCAGGTCCCTCTCCGCAGGAGGAGGAGGAGGAGGAGGAGGAGGAGGAGGAGGAGGCGAAGGAGGAGAAGGAGGAGGCCGACCTCCTTCTCCTCCCGTTCTCCTCTACCCCCCTGGCGCCCTCCCCCCCTTCGTCCCCACAGGCCATGCCGCTGGCCGCGGCCGCGGCCGCGGCCGCGTGGGGACAGTGGCAGAAGCCGCAGTGGGGTGGCTGGGGCGGCTGGGGCGGAGGCCAACAGGCGCTTGCGGGGGGCGGACGACGACGGACTACGACGACGACGAACGACGACGACGACGACGACGACGAACGACGACGACGATGGTGACGACGATGACGACGACGACAATGACGACATTGACACCGACCGACTGCCCGACGAGAGACCAAGGACGGCGGACGACGACGTCCGAGCGACAAAGACGGTAAAGACGGTGACGTTCCGATCAGTTTTCCCCGGACGGTTTCTGGAGGCTCTCGTCGGCGAGCTTTGCTCTCGGCCTGGCGCTGCGTTTCGCTGACGAGGCTTGGTGCCTGCTGGTGCTGGGGGGCAGGGTTGGGGGAGATGGGCCTGGCATCCCACGGGTTTTCTGAGGCCCCTCTTGGCCAAAGGCCCCTCTTGGCCAAAGGCAGGTGGGGCGAGGTGTTGGGGAACCCGAAGAGGACGTGCCACTCTCCTGCGCCCCGGTTGCCCCCCACGGTTTCGCCCGCCCCTTCCCCCGCGAACCTCCGCCGAGGTTGTACATCGTCTCTCGGCCGGGCGCGGTTGGAACGGTTGCCAGGGCGGACCCCGAGGGGGCGGGGGCTCTGAGGGCAGGTGCCGACCGGATGTTCACACGTGTGGGCGAGGGGAGGAGGAATGAGGGAAAGGAGGAGAGGAAGAGGAGGAGGAGGCGGGAAGGGGGAGGAGGAGGGAGGAGGAGGGAGAGAAGGAGGAGGGGAGGAGGAGGAGGAGGAGGAGGAAGAGGAGGAGGAGGAGGACGAGGAGGAGAAGAAGAAAGTGCAGGGTAAGATCAAACCCAACATGTACTCACGATGCTGCAGTACACCCTCCTTCCCCAGGTTCCCTTTTTTAGAACTCCTTACACGAGTTGTCTGTCACTGCGCGAATCGCCTCTTCAAAGACGGGGCCCTACGGGTGTGGGCCCTCCTCGCTTGGTCGTTGAAGTGGTAAGCGTGACATTTGGACTCGAAACCTTCAGAACGACACCGCCGCGCTGGATGGGGTTCGGGAGATGATGGCAGGGGAAGTACGGGTATCAACGAGTTGCCATTTTGTGGACTGTGAGTGTGCCAAACAAGGTGGCACATGTGTGTGGCCCCCAGGCGAAACAGCGGGACATGCAGATCAGAAGGAGGCGGACATTCATATGTGGATGAAGGTGGATGCAGAGGTTGGCCCAATAAGCCAGACCTGCCCGCCCGCCAAACGGGATCCTCAAAACTCAGATCCAGGGGACGATCATTACGTGGTCAGGAGTACGGGTGCTAGTCGTGAGGACATCCTAGACGAGAGCGCGGTCCTTGAGTAAATTGCAAGGATGTCCTTATCGCGAATGCGAGCCATTAATAATGTCGTAATGAAGTCACAAATAGGAGCCGTTGTCGGTAATGCAGACGAGCATGCTTCCTCGACAAAAAACAAGACGCGAGCTCCGCGGGTTGTATGTAAATTGTGATGCGATGGGATCAACACTAACATGACTGCGATCATCCGCACCGCTGCACCTTTCTCCGGGTACGCACCCATTGACAATGTCAGACCGTTTGGCCCCCCCTCTCTCTGATAACGGCAAGGGGGAGGGGGGTCCCCTTTATACTTCTCATCCTTATTAGTTCCCTCTTCATCCATCCTTCTCAGTTCTCCTCCTTGCTCGTATTTCCCATTCTCATCCCCGGCCACCCCTCATCTATCGTCTTCATTCCTCTTCAATATTATCCTTTTCACCTATCCTTCTCTTCCCCCACAAGCACCCCACCCTTGCTGGCACCCTCCGCCCACGTCGCCCTCCTCCCTCGCATCCGTCCCCTTTTCCCATGACGTTTGTTTTTATCTGGTCCCTCGTCCTACCCGAGCTTCGCCCTCCTCCCTCCCCCCTTCCTCTTTCGTCAGCGTCCTTGCTCATCCTGGTCGCCACAGCTGCGGGCAAGTTTTATATCCATATGCAGTGCGTCTTGGATTTTTTGGAAGGGGTGCCGCAAGGCCGAGGCGCACTGGATATGGATAAAAATCGAGCCCGTAGGGACCGGATGCTTACCCACATCCAGTGCGCCTCGGGCTTCTGGGGAAGGAATCTCGAAGCTCCAAGCTGCAGCGGATATGGACGCAAGTCTTGCCCTCAACAGTGTTCATATCGGGCGAAGAGAACTATACGCATGCACCGATCCTGGCAAGGCCCGTCTTTGACCCAGGATCGGTGCATATACCTTCCTGGCCAAGGTAGCGGGCGTATGCACCGATCCTGGGCTCAGGATGGGCCTGGCCAGAATCGGTGTATGTGCATAGTTCTCTTTCCTCTATCATAGCATCGTCCTCCCTCCTCGTCCCCGGCCCCTCCCCCCCTTCCATCACTATCCCTTGTAGGCGGCTCCTCCCTGCCGCACCCGCAGACGTGTTGGTAGGGTGGGCCTGGGCGCCTCGCGTTACACTTAAGTCGGTCCCTCTAAAGGGGGAATATTCAAAAATAGTAAAAAAATAGTCAGGGGACTATTTTAGTATTGTTTGACCATTTTGGAATATTTTTGTTTTTTCATGATTCGTCCAAAATCCCCCTGTAGGGGACACGCCCGACTTAAGCCTCGCGTTACACATCTGTATCACCTTTGACACTGAAGCTTGGCATTCGCAACCGTTGAAATCGTGGGGCGCAGGTCGGGTTCAAAATGGAGCTCTCTTTTGTCCGCTGCGCACACTCGTGCTAAGCGCTTGCAACAACTGCACTCGTAGGAAAGGATGGTTTTCGCAATAGAGCTCTGGCCTCAACGCCGTGCACACTCGTGCTAAAAGCTTCCGGCAGCCAGAATGATTGAGAGGGCTCATTTTCAAAATGGAGGGTTCGTAGCTCCGCCACGTTCACTCGCGCCAAGATTTTGCATCAGTTTGACGGATGGGGGGCGGCTCATTTTCAAAACGTGGTTCTGGCCTTAGCGCCGGTCACATTCGTTCTGACAGCTTGCAGCAGATACGTGGATGGAGGACGGTTCCTCTCAAGATGGGGCTTTACATTTGGACTTCTTTTTCTTGGCAGACTTGGGCTCTCGCTCAAGTCTTCCTCCATGGTCGTTATCAGCCAGAAGTGCAAATCAGCGCAAGAGTTGCACGGGTGGGGGCGGTCCTTTTGCAAGCTGGGCACGTTTGTTTGACATCTCGGTGGTCTTCATTGTCACACCTTCTCACGTTACAGCTTGCGCGGTCGACGACGGCAATATTGTGGAAGTGGGCTAAATGGAGAGGAAGCGTGCTGCTAAGTAACCTCCAGATGTCTACAACATGTGTCAACCATGTTTAAAGCATGTAGGAGATGTTTGAGACGCTTGGTTATGACATGTTTTACACCTGTTAGAGTACCCACTGTCATGGCAGCCACAGCGGTGATGCAGGTCCTTTGCCAACAGCGGGGCCCCCGGTCTGATCGGCAGGCCCGTCGGGTGCCGGTCGCTCCGTGCGGCGCTCCGCGCGGGGAGAGAGAAGGCCTTCAGGGGCCTGGGAACAGGGGCTTGGGACGGGAGGGCGCACGCGTGGTTCACTTCTTATTCTTCGACAGTTCTGAGATTCTTTGGGGCCAAGATCCTGTCATTCCTGATTCTGTTGTCCTGGGCCTCCTCCTGGCCGCTT